CCCGGGATCGAGTCCCGCATCGGACTCCCTGCTCAGCGGGGAGTCAGCTTCTCCCTCTGACCCTCTTCCCTCTTGTGCTTTCTATCTCTCATTCTCTCTCTCAAATAAATAAATAAAATCTTTAAGAAAAAAAAAGTCAAACATACTCTTTCACACAACTGGCAATTCCATCCCTAGATTTTTATGCAAGAGAATTGAAATTATGTCCACACAAAGATCGTATATGAACTTTCATAGCAGCTTTAAGCATCATAGTAAAAACTTGGAAATAATTCTAATGTCCATCGACAAGTGAAAAGATACACAATTTATGTCATAGTCATACTACAGAATTCCACAGAGCAGTGAAATATTGACACATGCAATAACTTGGATGAACTAACAAAAAGTAATCTGTGGTAACAGAAAGTGGTAGTTGCCTGGGGCTAGGGGTTGTGTTTAGCAGGGGGAGTTGACTGAGACGGGGCACCAAAGAACTCCTTAAGGTAATGGATATGTTTCATATCTGGAGTGTGGAGGTAGTTACATCGGTATACATATCTGTCAAAACTCAAAGAATTGTACACTCAACATGGGTGCACTGTATCAATTATAAATTTTACCTCATAAAATGGATTTTTCAAACACACTCAAGAAGCATAAATAAATGCAATGTGGAGACACTGTTTGGATCCTAACAAGCCAACTGCAAAAACATTAATGACAATTATGAAAACTGACTGGTTTTTGCTGATACTGATATTGTTACCATTTTTTGATCAGTGATAATCATATTGTGGTTATATTGAAAAAGAGAAAAAGAAGTCCTTCTCTTTTAGAAAAGTACTCATAGATGAATTGATAGAACATGTGAGATATGCTTTAAAAGAATTAAAGCACAGGGCAGTGGAATGGGTGTGGATGAAATAAGTTTGGCCAAATATCGATAACTATTGAGGCTGGGGGATGGGCACAATGGCATTCATTATATTATGTTATTATAATTAAAATTTCATTATTGTACTAACTTTATTACCATCCCCACATTTGTACATAGTGCTATACCTGTTTGCAATGTGTTGACCTTGTTTGGGTCTTAAATAAGCAAATTCATAATAAAAAGATATTTAAGGGACAATTGGGGAAATTTGAATACTGGCTAGCAAGCAGCTGACATTGAGGAATTTGGGGGAGAAACTTTTTGATGTTATAGTAATTCTGTGGTGTAAAAAAGGAGGTAAAGATGAAGATGGGGGAGGAAGAGAAGAAATTGCAGCAATGATCACACCTGGCATCCAGATCCTGGTTTCTTCATTTTCTGCTCAGAGGTACCAGGAATCCTTGAAGAAATGGCTTATTCTTAAGCCTGGAACATTTTGTTGTGCCAGAAAGTAAGAAAGTGTTCAAAGATGATGAAGACATTAAAACAAACAAACAAACAAACAAAAGAAAAACAAAACCCAGGAGTCAGCTTGAAGGGGCTCCCTCCTGACCCGATCTTGGACAATTTAAACACTAAAAGAAATCATGATAGCAAAGTATTACGGCCCATGGAATAAAATAAGAGTCAGTGAACCCATGGAGACTGAAACAAACAAATGTTTTCCTTGTAGTAGAGAGCCAACTAATAAATGTATAAGGAATGACAGTGCTAGAAAATTACCATTTGGCAACTATCATTGTAATACCTGAATCATGCAAAAATCAAAGATGCGCTAATGAACGAATAGGTGAAAGTCTGAGGAGTGACATAAAATTTACATAGTCTTAATGTACCTCTCCACAGGATATTTGTTAATTATAAAAGGAAAAACAGTGATTTTGCCATGGAGAAACCTGACAGACACCACCTTAACCAAATGATCAATGTTAACATCACCAGTAACTGGACAAATTGACGTGATGTGCTTACCGATACAACACACTGAGAAATCAGCATCTCATCCGGGCTAATCCTGCCAAAAATATTTAAGCTGAATCTAACCACGAGGAAACGTAAGACAACTCAAGCTGAGGGACAAAATAACTGGCTGGTAATCTTTGAGACAACAATGGTCATGAAAGACCAAGAGAGGACCTGCTCCAGACTAAAAGAGATCAAGCAGATAACAATGCAATGCGTAATCTGAAGATTTTCTCTTCCTCTATTGGGGCATTTGCTGAAATCTAAGTTATGTCGATTAGATAATGGCTTTGTATCAATATTAATATCTAGATTTTGATCATTGTATAGTGGTTATATAAGTGAATGTCCTTATTTTTGAGGAAAACTGTGAAATATTTAGGGATAAAGGGGCATCATGTCTGCAATTTACTCTCCAACAGTATGGGAAAAATAGAAAGAGAGAAGAAAAAAGGATAAAGCCAATGTGATGAAATGTTATCATTTGGGGAATTCGATGAGAGGCAGATGGGAATGCTTCGCAATTTTCTGTAAGTCTAAAATTACGTCAAATTAAAAAGTTGGGAAAAAAGTGAAAAACAAAAACAAAAAACAATAACCCACCAACCCTTGAAAGTAAAATCAACCAATCAAAAACAAAACAAAAAGGAAATTATTAATGGGAATGTAAAATGGTGCAGCCACTAGGGAAACCAGGATGGTAGTTCCTCAAAAAATTAAAATAGGGGTACCTGGCTGGCTCAGTTGGCAGAGCATGTGACTCTTGATCTTCTCTTATGTATGCTTGAAAATTCCCTTAAAAAAGTTTTAAAAACTTCACCACTTTAAACTTCATAAATTGAAATTCAGATTCTGTGAGGTTGCCCCATATGTTTTACTCAAATTTATTTATTGATGTCTTTTGACCATTACTGAGTTTCACAATTAAATGGAGAATTAGAAAACCAGGATTGTCTTTAGAGGTCTACAAAGATGGAGTTGTCAAGGTACTGGGAATCTCCAGCACATAGAAATGCTACATGGTCCAAAATATAACTTTAATAATGATTTTTAATATTAATGTAGAAAAGTGAGGGTAATGTACAATGTAAAGCACAGCTGCAGAATAATCTGGACCAGTCGCTTGTATAACTAAAGCATGGAGTACAATGCTGCTGTTGGCTAAATTAGCTGGGCTCCAGAAGGAAGGAGGAAGTGGGAAGAGGGTCTATGGCGGATTTGCGTGTGGATATGCTGTGTTGTGTTGCCTAAGCTACTGACTGAAATCTCCAAGAATCAGATAAGAACAACCTATGGAGGTCACAGTGGGCACAGAGTTCATAGTCCTTCTGTCTCCACAAAACCTGGAGTTGACACTTAAGGCTGGTTTGTTAAACTAGCAAACTTTCTAGTCTTTCCAGCCCCTGAGCCTGTGGTTGGGGGGAACAAGAGGTGTGTGATGATTGTGGAGTAGTGTGCTTGGACCAGGTTGTGCAGGGGCTTAAGTGTTTTTCTTTTTAAAGATTTTATTTATTTGACAGAGAGAGACACAGCAAGAGAAGGAACACAAGCAGGGGGAGTGGGAGAGGGAGAAGCAGGCTTCCCGCGGAGCAGGGAGCCCGATGAAGGGCTCGATCCCAGGGCCCCGGGATCATGCTCAGGAGCCGAAGGCAGAGGCTTAACGACTGAGCCACCCAGGCGCCCCAAGTATTTTTCTTTTTTACACTCCTTATAAACAACTATATTCTCATAAGATTAGACCGACATCGAAGTATTACTGAGCAAAAGGGAAATTCCCCTTCACCCCATCTCTGCTTCTACTCCCCACCCGTTAAGAAAACCACTACTCAGGGGCACCTGGGTGGCTCAGATGGTTAAGCGTCTGCCTTCGGCTCGGGTCATGATCCCGGGGTCATGGGATCGGGCCCCACATTGGGCTCCTGGCTCAGTGAGGAGCCTGCTTCTCCCTCTGCCTCTCTCCCTGCTCATGCTTTCTCTCTCTGTATCTGTGTCTCAAATGAATAAATAAAATCTTTAAAAAAAAGAAAAGAAAAAGAAAACCACTACTCACAGTTTAGGGCGCATCTTTTCCTTCTCTCTTCCAGTTCATAGTTGACTTTCAAGTCTCAAAATCAGAAAGAGAAAAATCCCGACGTCCAAATCTGATGGTTCTCTGGGTCTCCCAGGGAGAGTTTTTTAATGTGTTTAAATGTTTAATGTTTAAATGTCGGAGCACCTCACCCACGATGCTGTGATGGTCCATTTACCATCTATGGGTCTCACAGACTGTAATCTCTCCTTGACCAAGCTAGCTTTAATACTACATTTTGTTGTCCTGGTTCTTGGTGGCGTGCTGGCAGGGAGGAGGCAGAGACTGTTTACTGAGGGTGGCTGGGTGGAGTGGCCGGCTGCCTAGATAAATTAGGTCTGCATTTCTCCAGCAGTTTCATACTTAAGGGATATTTAAGGGACCCAGCCTCTAAGGTAGAGGCCCAGTCAGGTCATCCGAACTCTGGCGGTCTGAGCTGAAGCCACCCTAAATGAAGAGAAATGTGTAAGAAATGTACTTTAGCCACAAGGCCTAGTGGGCACAGCCCTGGACTTGCAGGAAGGAGGCAAGAGGCAGTGGGACATAGTGTCACCTCTCCAAGCATAGTTCTCCTCCTCTTATAGAGGGGGAGGCTCACAATAATAAGATTCATAGTATTTGCCCAGCTTAGGCAAGGAAACTTGTAGCATGACTCAGGAGCAAGGTCTGCGCTGCGACCACCCCCTTGATGCTCCACAGGCCAGGGCTGCCTGCCCGCAGTGGATAAATTAGGTCTTTCTCAGGCCATTTAATACTGAAGGGACATTTAAGGGGCCCAGCCTCTCAGTAGGGGCCCAGCCGGCTCATACAAACTCTGGCGGTCTGAACTGTTCGTGCCCCGGCCACTTCGCCCTGGTCCGCTTGCTTCCAGACCCGGCGGGCACTGTGCCTCGTCCTGGTGTCCTGGCAAAGAGCTGCCCCGGCCTCCGGGTCCCCAGGGCTGCGCCGCCGTCCTGCTGCCGCCCTCCTGTGGCCGCTCCGAGGCGACCTCCGGCCGCGCTGCGGGCCCCCTCCCTCCGCCGGTGACATCACCGCATTCCCGTCCCGGCTCCTCCCGCCTGCAGCTGCAGTGACAGGCGAGCCGGGCCCGGTGGCGGAGAGGAAGTGTGGGGCCGCAGCGCCGAGCCCGTCCCAGCCGAGGCCGGCTCCCCGGGCGGCTCGGGTGACAGTGTCGCGGCCGCCGGGCGCAGCACCGGGCACGCGCCGGGCAGAGCCGAGCGCCAGCCGGACGCTTCAGCAGAGACGCGGGGAAAATGGCTGATGACTTTGGCTTCTTCTCGTCGTCGGAGAGCGGGGCCCCCGAGGCGGTCGAGGAGGACCCGGCGGCTGCCTTCCTGGCCCAGCAGGAGAGTGAGATCGCGGGCATAGAGAATGACGAGGGCTTTGGGGCACCTGCCGGCAGCCATGGGGCCCTCGCGCAGCCGGGACCCGCGAGTGGGGGTGAGTCAGTGCAGGGGCCTGGGAACTGGGGGCCTGGGGCTCGCACTCGGGTACCTGGCGGCGCAGACCCGGCCTCGGGGCCCTGCAGGGGAGTGACCAAGGGCCTGGTATGGCGGGTCAGGTGCAGGCCTGGGGCTGTGTGTGTTTGAGAGGGACCTGGTGGAGACCGGGAGGAATCTTCTTGGAGAGCTTCATCTGAGGCCCTGCCCCGGGCTGTGAACCTGGCTCTGCCCACAGGAATTTGTCAGGACATTTCAACCCAGGGCCAGCTCCACCACTGCCTGGCCCTGAAATCCAACACAGTCCAGCCCTCAGAGTCTCTCCTGAGCCTCCCCCTTGCCTGGTCGTCCCAGGCCCCCAGCTAAGCCCTGCAGGCATGGGCAGAACACAGACCTCCCGGCCCCTCAGTCTTAGCTCTTCCCTACAGCTGGCAAAGCAGGGAACGCTGGGTGCTCCAAGAACTCACAAACCCTTCCCTGGGGGACCGACCACCTGCATCCTGCAGCCACTGGACTAGGCACTTTACTTACATTTAGTCATTTCATATGCATTGTCAAACCTATTTCAGAGGTGGCAAAACTGAGACTCAAAAGGTACCCTTCTGAAACAACTAGTAAGTGGCAGTGAGGATTTAACCTGTTTCTGTCAGACTCGAAACTGTCTCCACCTAACCGCACTGTCTTCCATATGTCTGGCTCTGGGTTAGATACCGAGGTGGGGGCAAAGGCACAGAAGGCTTCAGTCAGATGTGGTCCTGCCCTCCTGGGGTTTCCAACTGTCTATTAATGGTTTTCTAAAGGTGGTTCAGGGCTACTGTGGTTAGCTTTAGATCTGGATTCAGGGCCTGGTCCCTGTGATAGCATGTTTATCAAGGATATTCCTGTTCTGGTTCTGGCTTGAAAGGACAGTTTCTTAAAATACTTAGCTAAAGAGTAGATACCTTCATGGGTGCATGCAGAACATGCCATGCTTCTTGTTAATGTTGTTGTGTTTTGGTGGGGGCTTATGGGCCTGTTGGAATAAGTGATAGCTTATATTTTTTAAAAAAAGTTTACAGGTTAGGTTCCTTATAGTCATATTTGTATTTATTCAACCTGTACTGAAGGTCTCCTGTGTGCCAGGACCACTGGGGATACAGAAATGAATAAGACAATTTCTGTGGCTTGAGGAGCTTGAAGCATCTCTGTACCCCTTGATATAAGAAATGAGCAAGGCTTTTGTAACATCTAAGAAACTGGAGGTCCAGAGAGCCTGAGTGTCTTGCCCAAAGTCACACAGCCATGAGTGGCCGATCTGGGACTTGATCCTAGCTAGCCCTCCACACTCTTTCAAATGCTATAGCAGTCGCCCTAGGAGGTGATGGGCTGGAGGGCTGGCTTTTGCCACCCAAGCAAGCCAGTAGCGGAGGGCTTCTGAAGCAGCAGCTCCTGTCACCTCAGCATGGATCCTCACACATCCCAGGGAATTCGTAGGAAATGCCTGCCTCTATTCATTATTCACTAGTCCACACCGCCTCTGTGAAACCACCAGCTTTCTCAGTCTGGCTTGGCCTGGAGGAGGCCCCGCTGAGAAGAGCTGATGTCAGAACCCCTTGAGAGAGAAGGGCAGGTAGAGCTTAGGTTGAGGGCAGCCAGAGGCCCTGGGAGTTGAGCAGGTTGTGGCCTCTCCCAGGACAGTGGGGCTCCAGGGGCTCACAGCCGGGATGGGAGGTTCCCTCTGTGGCAGGGGTGGGGGCACAGGTTGACCCCAGACTGGAGAAGGCAGGGGGAGAAGGAGAGACATGGCCCTCTGAAGGTCTTCCAGACTCATACCTGCTGAAGCTGCAAAAGTTCAGCTGCCCTCCTAAGTAGGGCCTGAGGATCAGGGAGGTATTATAGGATGGTGGCTCAGTAGGTGGCCAGACAGGATGGGATTGATCTGACCTTCCTAGGCCTAGGTGGTGCTGAGCAAGTAATCTTCCCTGACCAGTGATGAATACCAGAAGCTCGGACAGGGTGGAGAAAAAGTGCCTTGGCCTGCTGGGAGCTGGGAGAAGCTGGCTTCCGGAGCTGCGGCCAATCAACACCTCTGAGTCTGTTCTCCTAGACGGTGCCCCTGTGCTGAGTGCCCTGTTGTGGGGCTCCCTGCTACCCCAGGGGAAAGAGGTGTCTGGTCTAGGCCTGAGCCGGAGCCCAGCCGCATTGAGTCTCTCCTCTGGGGCGGGATCTGGGACCAGCCAGGGCAATGGACACTTTGTTTCCATTCATCAGCCTTGGGTAGGGCCTAGCAGGTTTACATTTTCACACCCAGATTTCTGAGCCCCAGCCTGGCTCTGTCCCTGACTTGCCCAGTCAGTTCCTGGCAAGCCTGTTTCCCCTGCTGGGCCTCAGTAAGCTCCCAGGAATGTTCTGGACCCTGTCTGCCCTTGTTCCAAAAGAGGTCAGGAATCTGAGGGAAGCAACGCCCACGGGGTTAGACGTGGGCCTCATATCTGCCGTGCTCCTGTTCTGCAGGCCTCTGACTGCGGACGTAAGATTGTAAATGTGCAATAATTAGAAAGCACTGTGGGAACAGATACTCAGTTCTATGTGTGGGTGGGTGTGGATTCTCCAAGAGGCTGAAATTTCAAATCCAGAGGAATGTTCATGGGACTGAGAAACTGAGGCAGAGAGACTTTCTGAAGACCAGGGTAGGCACCAGGACTGTGGACCAGGGGCCCAAGACGGGTCTGGTCAGAGTGGGATGGGGTGGTGCTCCTTCCACTCCAGAAAGGCCAAACATCCAGCCTGGCGTCATCGTGAATGACACGGATAATGTTAGGCCCTGAGGAGGGGCCCCAGGAGAAGAAGCCCCTTTGCAGAAGATGTTGCCACTAAAACCCCATCGCCCCCTCCCCCCAACTTAGGGACCAGGCCACCCATGGAGGAGTAGCCCTAGGGAATGAGTAGGGATGACAGGAGACATAGTCGGTCAGAATCAATCACTGTTTGAAAATTTATATCAACCAGGGATTATTTCCATAAGATTAAGTATCCCTCTCTTCAGTCCCCAGGCTGAAATCAGTGTGGTCCCTGCTTGCAGCCCTATCTGGCTGGTAAAGGGGTACTCGTCCATCTGTGGGAAGTTCGTGTGGCTTCCTGTGGCTTTTTGCTGGGAGGCATCACAGTTTCCAAGAGGCCTTAGGCAGGCCTTGCAGGTCATGGTGGACCTCCAGAGAGCAGTTCATCTTGCATTTAGCCAGTACTCACTGCTCACCTGTTCTGGGCAGGAGCCCTCAAGAACTGAATAGGATACAGAGCCTGGCTTGACAGGGAGTGCATGGCCCTTGGGAGGTCACAGGTAATTGCATAAGAGAGTGGGGAATGCTATACAATATTGTGGGATATCCCAGAGGTGAAACCTTTCTTCAGTGCTTAGAGAAGTAGGGGAAGTAATGGAGGACTTCCCAGAAGAGGTGACTTGTGAACTGGGTCTTGGAGAATGACTGATTCCAAAAGAGTATTCTTTTGAGAGAAAAGGGAGGAAGAAAGGCATGGGTTGCAGACTGGTGTGTTTGAGGAAGGAGGAAACCAGAATAGTTTTTTTTAAGGCTTATTTATTTATTAGAGAGAGAGAGAGAGAGAGAGAGAGCACACGCATAGCAGGGAGTGGCAGAGGGAGAGGGAGAGACAGACAGGCTCTGCGCTGAGCACAGAGCCTGATGTGGGTCTTTTTTTTTTTTAAGATTTTATTTATTTATTTGAGAGAGAGAATGAGAGAGAGAGAGAGAGAGCACATGAGAGGGGGGAGGGTCAGAGGGAGAAGCAGACTCCCTGCTGAGCAGGGAGCCCGACGCGGGACTCGATCCTGGGACTCCAGGATCATGACCTGAGCCGAAGGCAGTTGCCTAACCGACTGAGCCACCTAGGCGCCCCTGATGTGGGTCTTGACGTGCTTGATCTCACGATCCCGAGATCACGACCCCAGCCAAAACTAAGAGTCGGATGCTCAATCGACTGCACCACCCAGGCGTCCCCAGAATATCTGGGAGAGGGACTGGTGGGAAGTGAGGCAGGAAAGCGGGCAAGGCCAGAGTGTAGAGGTTCTCATGTGCTATGGTCTGAGGTTTGAGGTACTCATTCAACAGATATTTATTGAGCCCAGTTATGTGCCAGGCACTGTTTTAGATGCTGGGCGCTGGCATTGGGCAAGACAAAGTCCCTACCCTCACGAGGGGCCATTCAAGTGGGGAAGATAGATAATAAGCACCTACACAAATAAGCGTGTCAGGCTGTGGTAAGTACCATGGGGAAATACTGCAGGGGCAGGAGGGTGGGCTGTGAGAGCAGTAAGTGTCCCGGGGGTCAGGGAAGGCCACTGCTAGGACAGCGTTTGAGCAGAGGCTGAAGGGAGGGGAGGGAACAGCCCATGTGGTATGGGTAGGAAGGCCTTCCAGGCTGAGGGAAAGTCCCTGCCGGTCCCCAAGGCGGGAGCAGACCCTATAGGCCACCATGGTCCATGGGAGGCGGGTTTCTTTTTCGTTTGTTTTTATTATATTTGTAAGCAGAGGAGTGACATAGGTAAGTGTATGCCTTACAGAATGTGAGCCCTTGGCGTTTGGTTTGAAAGAGCGTTGGGAGAGGGTGAAGCCGGAGTCAGGTCAAAGGCCTGCGAGCGGACAAAAGCCATCCGTTCTTTTTCTGATGCTTTTTTTTTTTTTTTTAAGATTTTATTTATTTATTTATTTATTTGACACAGAGAGAGAGGTAGCGAGAGCAGGAACACAAGCAGGGGGCGTGGGAGAGGGAGAAGCAGGCTTCCCGCGGAGCAGGGGAGCCCGATGTGGGACTCGATCCCAGGACCCTGGGATCATGACCTGAGCCGAAGGCAGACGCTTAACGACTGAGCCACCCAGGCGCCCCTTTCTGATGCATTTATTGGTGTTTATCTGACACATAAGTTTCTGAGCTCTTACTAAGTCGCGGGTACCGCGGGTACTGTGCACGCGTCTGAGGAAGACAGGGGTGAGGAGCAAGGACTCAGGTAGGTCTTCTAGGTGTTTGTCACCAACAGGGCCGACAGACTGGACAGGGGACAGAGAGCAGGGGACAACTTTGAGGGTCACCGTTGCAGCAAAAGCCACAGGAATTTGTGACTAATCAGCTGTCAGGGAAAGGGACCGGAAGGAGTCATTGTTGAGGGCAAAAGAAAATCCTTTAGGAGGAGCGGAAGGAGGAAAAATAGGCCAGGTGCTGCCTGGTGGGGGCTGCAGTTCCTGCTCTCCCAGGTGGAGCAGTTGCTCCAGGCACCGCGGGGACAGGCAGTGACGCGCTGGGCCCCTGTTCTTAGTGCTCGCAGACACCGCCCTGAGCCGACAGCGTCTCTGCCTGCTCACCAGGCGCAGGCTCCACACACAGTCAGGCCATTGCTAGCCATGGCCGAGTGTAAACTACATTCAGGTAGGTGAGAGGCTGTCACTGGCTGGGTGGCCGTTGGCAATCACATAGCCTTTCTGAGCCTTAGTTCCAGTATCTGTAAAATGGGTGGATAACTTCATCACAGAGTTGTGGTGAAAAGCACACGTGACAATGGCTGTGAGAAGGCTTTGTGAACAGTCACGGCTTGAGCCCAACTTATTTAGGTATCCAGTATGTCTCCATGGGGAGGGGGTTGTGTCTGGACACAGACAGAGGGTGGCTCAGGGCGCTAATGTAGGACCATCTGTGCTTGCTTTAAGCTGAGCAACGAATAATGCCATTTCTTTGTTCTCTTTCTAGCTGGTTCTGAGGACATGGGGACCACGGTCAATGGAGATGTGTTTCAGGTAAGCAAGATTCTGTCATAACAGCGGTAGGAACTGATAGCCTGGATCTCAATAACTTATGGCCCCATCGTCGGTGGGATTAGGGCTCCAAGTTATTCTATTCATTATGTCTGATGCATTGGGATGGGAACATAGACAAGGGTTTTGACATGTTTTCTTCCTTCCTTCCTCCCTCCCTCCCTCCCTCTCTCCCTCCCTTCCTTCCTTCCTTCCTCCCTTCCTTCCTCTCTTTCTTTCTTTCTCTCTCTCTCTTTCTTTCTTTTCTGTCGTGTGGGGGAAGGGCAGGAAGAATAAGGACCACTATAGACAGGGATTGATGGTGTGCGGCCTCAGGTTGCCCATGGTGATGTCCAGCTAGGAGAAATAAAGTGGCCCACAGTGGCACAGTGCACACTGGGCCCTGCACGCATCTGTGCCACTGGTGGAAAGCTGGACTGAGTGACTGTGTCCGAGCATTTCTTTTTAAGATTTTTTTAATTTTTAAAAAATATTTTATTTATTTATTCATGAGAGTCAGAGAGAGAGAGAGGCAGAGGCAGAGGGAGAAGCAGGCTCTCTGCCTAGCAGGGAGCCTGATGCGGGGCTCGATCCCAGGACCCCGGGATCATGACCTGAGCCAAAGGCAGACGCTTAACCATCTGAGCCACCCAGGTGCCCCCGTGTCCGAGCATTTTAAGTGCAGGTCTTTGATTCAGAGATTCCACTGCTTTGAATCTTCCCTAAGGAAAGAATTGGACAAGGCCTCCCAGATTTTTGCAGGATTATTTACAAAAGTAGACAAACTATGTGGTGAGCACAGCATAACATAGAAGGAAGTTGAGTCACTATGTTGTACACCTACAATTAATGTAACATTGTATGTCAACTGTATTCAAACAGAAAGTTAAAAAAATAACAGACAAACTGAAACGACTTAAGTGTCCAGCATCAAGGGCCTGGGTAGGTAAATTGGAAAATCATGCTGTTGTTCAAAAGAGCAGTCAGAGCTTTCTGTATTGACATGAAAAGATGCCCACAATATATCAAGTGGAAAAGCCCCTTGCAGAATAATATGCACAGTGTGATCCAGTTATTTTTTTATTTTAGAAATATATTTGTGCAGAATATCTGAAAGGATGTGCACCAGCTGTTAACAATGGTTAAGAGTGGTTAGCCCTGAGGTATGGGGGTGAGATAAGAAAAAGAAAAGGCTTTCACTTTCCCTGGATTGTTTTAAAATTCCTCATAATGGGGGCACCTGGGTGGCTCAATCGGTTAAGCATCTGCCTTCCGCTCAAGTCATGATCCCAGGGTCCTGGGATCAAGCCCCGCATCGGGCTCCCTGCTCTGCGGGAAGCCTGCTTCTCCCTCTCCCACTCCCCCCGCTTGTGTTCCCTCTCTCTCTGTGTCTCTGTCAAATAAATAAATAAAATCTTTAAAAAAATAAAATAAAAAAAAATCCTCATAATGATCTTATACCCACCCCACCCCCCACAACACCAGTAAGGATATTTCTGGTTAGACTACTTCTTTCTGTACCCACCTCCTCCTTCCCCACATTTATACACAAATGGGTTTAAGAGTCCTTACACTGGGAGAACTTGGCCCACAGATGGCATCCCCAGGACCCTGCAGATGGAACAGTCCCCCCCACCCATACTTGGGTGGGATAGAGACACTTGACCCCTGGGGCTGCAGCTTCAGGATCTCCTGAGCCCCACCCTATTGAGGCGCTGGCCTCCCAAGTCCTCAGTGGGGAATAAACAATACTTTCTTATGTAAGAAGGATAGGCTGGTACCTTACGTGGGGAACCTAGCCAAGTCCCGTTTTTGGAAAATTACTCAGCTATCAGCAAGCTAGAAAAGTCAGTCTTTAGGACTTTAGGAACTTTGTGTCTCCTTAGGTCTGAGAGCACCCAGTAAACAGCATTTACTCCTGTACAATTCGGTAGATCATGGAGACCCAGGCTATCCTGGGCCTGCCCCTATCCTGGGCACACTCAAAAGGACTTCACTTGACCCAAAAGGTCTATGTCCTAAAGTGGACCTGGAGCTGGAGATACACTTAGAACTGCAGAAATATCTAGAACACTATGAGCAAGATAATATTTCCCCTTTCTGTAGGTTAGGATCTTGAGGCTTCTCTGTCCTCAACCCCCCAGCCTTACTTTTTATTTGGTGGATATAGGAAATCCCAGGCCTCCTTCCCAGTCTTAGTGGGAACTCTTATTCTCACTGCTACTAATAACCCATGTATGTTTATTTGTAAATCATTTCACTCCATGCCATCCTAGAATCCTTACAGGCAGGGGAGGGGTCATGAATGAGGTGAGTCACTCGGGAACTTAGTGGCAAAGCTCAGGTTCTCCTAGATCTCCTGCCCCTGATCTGGTGCCCTCTGTCCCATCCCTTGTGCTGGAACTGGCCTGCCACAGTGGCTGGATCTTAGGCAGAAAGCCCCTGTAGACTTTTTTAGGATTGACCATAGACCAGGGTGTGGTTCATGCTGCAGGAGGAAGGTGGGGGGAAGCCTTGCTTGGACATGCCCAACACTTTCAAGGGTCCTGGCCAGAGCTCTCTGGCTACATTTCTTATTCTTTCCTGGCAACCTCTGGGCCACAAGGGTGTCCAGCTATAAACCTGGTCCTCAAGGCGTAAGGATGAGTCTGCCCACACTTATTCCAGTCCCATCTGGCACTGCCAGGGACATGGATAGAAGGCCCCTGCAGACTTCCCCCCTCCTGCACAATCTCTCTCCCCCGCCACGCACTGCCACCATCCCCCTCTGAGCTACTTAGAGGGATCAGCAGCTCAGCTTAGCTCCGCTTTAGCTGGACAATCCCAAAGACGGATATGCCTCATCCTCCTGGCTGTCTCTGGAGTCACAGCGTATCCTTGGCCAGCCTGACCCGTGGAGGCTTTCATGGTCATGTCCAGCAGAGGGGTCCCTCAGCAAAGGGGTGCCAGGGAACTAGACCCAGATAAGCCTGTCCTGACTGTAGCCTTTCGGTCCTGGCCATTTCTGCCCCCTTCCCTGTTGAGCTTGGGTGGGGGGGCGGTGCTCAGAGCATTCCTGCAGCCACTGGGGAGCCTGCCTGGGCTGCCAGCCTGTAGCTGACCCCCAACCTCACTGCTCACTGGCAGGGGCCAGGCCAGGAAAATTAGTCCAGCAGGGCCAGAGAAGAGGAGCCAGCAAACTGCTTCTCAGGACTCAGCGTGCCGGCAACACCGCTGTGCGCTTCCTGGTTGGGCCGCAACACAGGCCCGTGTCCGCGGGGTCTGCCGGGCTGATTGTGAACCACACAGCCCCGCCGGCCCTCACCTGTGCATATCCTCCACAGCTTACAGGGGGCCCCACTTCACACTCGGAGTGGAGTGGGATGTTGTCTCTCCCATTTAATAGGCGATGAGACCCAAGGAGCCCAGGGAAGGGACTTCTCAGAGGTCACACATCCAGTGAGTGGCAGGAGGGGACTTTAAAGCCCAGGCCCTCTGATGCTGTGTGCCGTGGCTTTGCAGACGGCCACTCGTCCCTTCATTCCGCCAGCTCCCATGCCGTGAGTGCCGCGCACTGTGCTCGGGGCAGTGGATGTGACGGCAAATCCGCCACTGTTGTCTTCAAAGAGCTGGCTTCTGACAGAGGACAGAGACCTGGAAAGAAGTGATGATAGCGCAGGATGGTAAGGGCTCAGATACAGGGGTGGTGTCAGGCGCTAGGAGTCCGAGTTCTTAACAATGTGTCAAGCATCACCCAAGGGCTCTAAGCGTGTTAGCTCGCTTCATCCTCCCAACACCCCCGTCATGTAGATTCTGCCTTTATCCCCATTTCACAGACCAAGAGGAAGATGCACAGGGAGCTTTAATAGCTCACTCTAGTTCCACAGCTGGGAAGGGCTGGGACTTGAACCAGGCTCCGGCGCCAGGTGCTGCACTCGGTCAAGGAGTGCGACAGGGAGGGGCTGCTGGAAGTGGGTTTCCAGGCTGCCCAGGGGCACGTGGCTGGTCTTGGCTGATAGGAAAGCATGTGCAAAGGTACAGAGCATAAGGCACTCTCTGTGGGCCTTGCCTGGAGCCTGGGGCCTGCTGCAGACAATGGTGTGCTGGGGGAGCCCAGAGACGCCAAAGCTACAGGGCTGGTGTGATGGGAGGGGAGCGCCCCCTGCCCCCATCCCCGGGCACAGCTCCCAGCCAGAGCCTGCTAGTGGGCCGAGCTGTGGATGCACAGGTGGAGGAGGCATGTCTAGCTTGGCCGAACTTCACACCCTGGGCCTCGGGCACGGCCACCCCTGGGCACAGTGTGCTTGGAACTACACTGAGCAGTGCTCCTGGATGTGTGGTGCCCTTGGATGTGCGGTGCGGCTGCTCCAGAGCCCATGAGAAGCACCCATGGGAGTCCAAGTGGCTCCTCGAGGCTGCTCCTGCACCCAGGCTGGGGTGCTGTGATGGGCTACGGCAGAGGAGTTTGGATGGAATCAGTAAGGCCTGGGCTTCCTTTGTGGCTCTTCCCAACCAGATGGGCTTGGGCTACTCTCTTGACTGCTCTGAGTTGATTTCTCACTTGTCAAAAGGGGATAAGAGTTCCTGCCCTGCTGTCCCACAGGGCTGTTGGGAAAAAGTGCTCTGCAGCCCAGGGAAGCTTCTTGTAAGTTCCTGGCCATGCTACTAAGTGAGCTGAGGGGTGGTAGTGTGTGCGTGTGAGAGATGGGGGATGGGGCAGGGGGCACTTGGAGGAGCGGGCACCGTCTCTGATCTTGGGGAAGTAGACTTAGGGAGACAGAGAGTAAGTGTGTCACAAATCACGTGACGCTGAAGTGACTTTTGTCCCTGCTGAGCTATGTGGCCAGCATGTTTCACACCCAGGAATTCAGCTGGAATCTCAGCTCTGCCAGTTCCCAGCCCGGTGACCTTGGGACTCTGGAGCTAGAGTTTCTCTACCTGTAAAACACAGATGATAAAACCCATCATGTAGGGTTCTAAAGATCAAAGAGATCAGTTTAATTGTGATTCCTCTGCAAGTTTTAAAGCACTAAAACCTGGGACTCTTAATTTTAGGGTAGGCTTTATGGGTATGGTGGGCCTGAAGGACATCAGTGTGACAAAACTCCTGCCTAAGAGACCCTTCTCCAGCCCATATCCCCCACCCCTTCTCCTCCCATGCCTGGAAACATCGCTGTACTCAAGTTTCCCAGAGGCACTGGCCCCACAGGGTCCTTACGCTTCCAGTTCTGGTCTAAAATGGCCTTTCCCTGTCTCTGCCCCCAGACTAGAATGACTGTGTCCGCCCTTGTCTCCGCTCTTTACCTGACTTGTGTTATAGTGCGTACCCCAGCCGTGGTCCTCATTTGTGAGAGATTCGCTCTGCCAAACTCCCAGGGGACAGGTCGTCTTTTTCATCGCTATCCCTAAGCCTGAGCATATGCTCATTCATCCAAGAAGTGTTCTAGAGATCCTCCTCCAGCCAGGCCTTCCCTGTTCTAGATACTATACAGAGACAGTGAGTCTCAGTCCTTATGGGGCTCACTTATTGGGGCTGGGGGCGGGTGGAGACAGAGAGTAAACATGTAAACATATCATTTCAGATAGCCGGAAGTGCCGTGAGGCTAAGGAAACACAGCACCTTAATAAGCACGTATACACAGAAGTAACTGCAGTTGTCTGCACATGGCACATCCTATAGGATTGGGTGGGGGAGGCCTGGTGGCCTGGCCTCAGGACAGGGTTGCTCCCGGAAGGGGGCAGGGTGGGGCACACTCAACATTAGTGATCAACTTCTGTTCTCCAGATTAGAGCCCTGGAAGGGCCCCTCGGGTGTGGTGAGAGGCTGTCTAAATTGAAGTGTAATCCTGTGCCAGAAAGAATAGGGCAGTGCTCCAACCGTCCCACCCAAGGGTGGGCCTGACCCCAGGGAGGTGCCAGGCTACACACCCTGCCCTGGGCCCGCCCTTCCCTCTCCCCCCCAGACAGGGGGAGACTGCATCCCTCATGTTCCCGCTGCGTGCTCCTTCACCCGGGCTGCCCACACCCCTTTGGGCAAACATTTACCCAGCACATCTGGCTCCGGGGATATGCATCCATGCAGCCACTGCTTACTGAGCACTGATGTGTGCCAAGGACAGTGGCGAGCACCCCTGGGCAGAGGGCGGCACTGGACATCGTCTTGTGGGGACAGGACATTAAACACCAGTGTTCCTGAGAGGTTTTTTTTCTTTTCTTTTGTTTTCTTTCTTAAGATTTTATTTATTTATTTATTTGAGAGAGAGAGAGAGCATGAGAGTGGGGGAGGGTCAGAGGGAGAAGCAGACTCCCTGCTGAGCAGGAGCCCGATGTGGGACTCGATCCCGGGACTCCAGGATCATGACCTGAGCCGAAGGCAGTCGCCTAACCAACTGAGCCACCCAGGCGCCCAAGTTTTTTTTTTTCTTTTAAAGATTTTATTTATTCATTTGGGAGAGAACACAAGTTGGGGGGAGGGGGCAAAGAGAGAGGGAGAGGGAGAAGCAAACTCCCCGTTCAGTGGGGAGCCCGATGCGGGGATCGATCCAAGGACCCCAGGATCATGACCTGAGTCGAAGGCAGCCGCTTAGCTGAGTGAGCCAGCCAGGCGCCCCTGTTGCTGACAGATTTGATGAATGCTTGAAAGACAGGGAGTGATGAAAGGATGGGGCAGGGGTTCAGAGGCTCTACATAAGGTCCTGCTCTGCCCACCGGGAGCTCCTGGTCCAGCAGGGAGACTCGTGCAGAAGGTGAAGGCTGTAACAGAGCACAGAGAAGAAGGGGTGTGAAATCTGCCGAGGGGGTGGCTACTCTAGAGGATGGAAGAAGATTTCATCAGCTGAAGAAGGGAGGAGAGGGCAACAACTGCAGCTAGCCCGGGGAGGAGACGGACGCTCGGGGCAGCAGGAGTGTGTAGGGTGTGTGCTGCTGGGAATGTGTAGGTGCCGAGTGTCGGAGGGGGCGTGGCAGGAGATGGGGCTGGACTGGAAAGGGTCTTTGGCTTTGAGAGACCACAGGGGGTCACAGCCTTGCTGGGTTGAGCTCTCAGCCCCCAGCGCTTGGAGTCCCCAGCTCTGGCAGGCCGCCTGGGGAAGTGCGTAGAGCCTCGGCCTGGGAGTCAGAGCCCTGGACGCCCGCCACTACATCATGCCATCGCTCCTGGCCTCAGTTTCCTTCCCTGTAAGATAAGACTGAATAATAATTCTAGCTACCACTCACAGAGCCATCCCTCCACACCAGGCCCACTTCTAGATGTCCTACAAAGACTGTCATGTCAAGTCCTCACAACAGCTCTTGGAGGTAGTTTTATTATTATTCTCATTTTTGGATGAGGAAACTGAGGCCCAGCAAGGTTGAGCAACTTGCCTCCACTACACATGCATCCAGTAAGCAGTGCAGTGGGGTCTGAACCCAGACAGCCCGGGCTCACCACCGTGCAGTCTCAGCCACGCCATCCTGCCCCATCCCAGAGCTGCTAATCCACCTAGCAGAGGTTTACTGAATATCTTCTGTGTGCCAAGCACTGTGCTGGGCAAAGGGGACAGAGCGATGAGCAGGCTAGACAAGGACCCTGCTGTCACGAAGACAGACAGAAAGTGAGGTCATTTCGGACTGTGTAAGTGTTAGTGGGTGAATAAGACTGCAATAGAGACTTTAATAACAGGAACACAAGGGACTCACTGTGTGCCAGGAAGTGTTCAAGGCTCTGTACATTTTTAAATTCATTTCCTTCTTCCATCAGTGTGAAGGGGTGGCTACTCTTATTGAGCCTGCTTCGTGACCAGGAAGGTGAGGCTCACAGGGGCCGTGTCACTCGCCCAGGTCCCCCATGGGAGAGCGTCGCTGGTGAAGGGCACAGCGAGTATAAAGGCAGGGTGTAGTCACGGGAGGCAGCAGGTGGGAGGCTGCTGGGGACAGCTGAGGTAGCCACATGTGGTGGCCGGCGCGGGAGTGGGGGGGTCCTGGTACTCAGGCAGCAGCAGAGGCAACAGGGCGGGTATGCAGGCTGCGCACACTGCTGTGTGTTTGCGCCCTAGGAGGCTAACGGTCCAGCAGATGGCTATGCGGCGATTGCCCAGGCTGACAGACTGACTCAGGAACCCGAGAGCATCCGCAAGTGGAGAGAGGAGCAGAGGAAACGGCTGCAGGAGCTGGGTGAGGGCAGGGCTGAGGCTGGGAGCGGCTCCCAGCTGGGTTGGCTGTTTGGGACATGTGGGGGTGGGGAAGCCTTAGGGTACAGGACCCCCACTCGCACTGCCTTAATGTGGGTATTGGGTGAGGATGGGCCCTGAGGCTGCTTGCCAGGGGGTGGGGGGAGGAGTAGCCAGGGCAGCTGTGCCCTCACATTCCTACGGCGAAGCTGCCACTTACTCTCCTGTTGGGGTCACAGATGCTGCCTCCAAGGTGACAGAACAGGAGTGGCGGGAGAAAGCCAAGAAGGACCTGGAGGAGTGGAACCAGCGTCAGAGTGAACAAGTCGAGAAGAACAAGATCAATAACCGGTGAGAGGAGCTATGGGGACACGGGGGGAGTTATGGGGACACGGGGGGAGTTATGGGGTCATGGGGGGAGTTATGGGGTCATGGGGGGAGTTATGGGGACATGGGGGGAGTTATGGGGACAGGAGGCCATGTGGACAGTGAGAGAAGTTAGGGGATGGGGACTGTCTTGAGGAGGGATGATTTGGTGGCAAGAACGCAGAGGCAGGAGAAGCTGAACCCCTCAGGGCTGCCTCCTCAGTTGCTGGTGGCACTCAGAGCCGTCAGGGCTGGAACACTGTCGAGCTGTCACCTCACCAAGACAGAGAGAAGCAAGTTCTGCGGGCAGCAGAAGAGGTCTCAGGACCCCGGCATGGGAGCCAGACTGCCCGGGGCCCAGCGGTTAGTGTCACAGAAAGCACAGGCCGGGCCGGGAATGAAGAACCAACCTGGGGACAGGATTTTACTGCTTGTAGAAATGGCAACACCTCAGCCCAGAGACGCTAAAGGATAAACGGAAGTTAGTGGCCTGTATAACTGAGAAGGCCAGGGGTGGGACTGTAATACTAGGCTCAGGGGCTCAGACAAAGTCAACTGGCATTCATGTTTACTGTCTCTTGATGCTGCTCTCCCCTCTGGTCCTGGAATGGGGCAGGGGGTGGGGGGAGAGGCGGCCACCGACAGCTCCAGGCTTCTGCTATGGTCTTTCCATAACCTCTGTGAAACTAGCATCCTTCCCAATAGCTCCAGCTGAGATCCTCGACCTGACCCTTACCGGCCTGGTGTGGGTCCTGTGCCTGGCCCTGGCCCAGTGACTGTACCAGGGGAGGGACTCTCTGATGGACCCAGCCTGGGCAATAGTCCCATTCCTTGGGTTGTACATGGGGTCAGTGTCACCCAAACCACAGGGACTGAAGTGGGGCCAGCCCGATCCTGCCAACAACAATCAGGGTGCCCTTCCTGGGAAGAAGGGGAATGGAGGCTGGACTGGCCGACCCTGGATGCCCACTAGCGAGCACGTTCAGGGATATGGTCTCAGACCACTTCTGAGACTCTGGCCGGCAGCTCTGCCTTTGAGGCTGTGTCCTTCAAGGTACCTGGCCGGCCCGGAAAGGCAAGGCTGGCCCTGGCAAGCTGCCGCACTTCTGTTCAGGAAGCTGCTGTGGGCCAGGCTCCGGGTTGGGCACTGGGGGACAGAATGGGGAAGGACCCAGTCTGTATCTTGGAAGAGCTCAGAGGAGAGAAGCACACATGTGCAGGTGAACTCACCAGTAGGCTTCTCTAGGGGAAGGCTGTGGAAGCAAGGGGTGTGGGTGGGGGAGGGACCTCTGTGTCTAGGACCTGGACTTTGAAGGATGATTAAAAGTTCATCAGGGCAGGGTTGGGCGAGAGTGTTCTAGACTAGGGAACAGCAAAACATGAAAGGCTGTTATGTCTTGGGCACCAGGGAGTGGTAGGGAGAAGGCAGGAAGGAGGGGTCACAGGTGGAGGGTCTCCAATAACAGGGTTGGACAGACGGGGGCGGTGAGGAGCCCTGGAAGGCTCGTGAACAGTAGTATGATCAGGGCAGTTTCAGAAAAGGCACTCAAGCCGGTGAAGGATCCCTGCTCTCCTCTCTGGGCTGTGGATAGTTGCTAAGACTTACAGGACTATGCTTCCTAACGCTCTCCAACTGGAGGTACTAATGCTGTCTCCCTTTCTTTTTAACCCTCTGCCTGTCTGTCTTGCCATCTGTCTTCCCCCACCTAACCCTTTTCCCAAGGATCGCTGACAAAGCATTCTACCAGCAGCCAGATGCTGATATCATCGGCTATGTGTAGGTGTCTTCTTTCCTCCTCTGTCGGGGGAGCGGGAGAGGGCGAGGGCCCCTCTGTATGACTTGGGTGTCCTGCTTGTGGGGTATAAATGAGTGTGGCCAGGCAGGGACTGGGGCTGGGGGTGGCAGGGCAAAGACCAGAGCAGGAGGCAGCGCAGGCACCCACCTTCACCTCTATTCCTGCAGCAAATGTTTGTTGAGCATCTATTCTGCCTGAAGGCAGCTTTGCTAAATCAAAGCAGAACACAGAAAAAGAATGCACTGCCCATCCCAGGTGGGAGGGGCAAATGGCAAACAGCCCAACTCCATCCTTCTGAGATGCCTCTTAGGGCTGGGAGGTGGGATGAAGGAGTCTTCTGTTGAACAAAACATTGAGTACCAGAAGCATAAAGAAGAGATGCTTCCCACAAATACCCCCATCCTCTACTCCTGCTCCCAAGCACACTGCTCCTCCTCAAAGCTTCAGCCCGAGTTTGGCCACCAGATCCTGCCTAGAGCACCATGGGCCTCTCACATGTTCCTGTTTGGGGGCTAGCCAGGACTATGCCTAATCTGGATTGGAGATGGCAGATGGTGCCCCCGTTGATGGGCAGTTGACAGCCTGGGGGGGGGGTGTTGGCATGGTGAAGGGGAAGGCAAAGCAGTGACGACTGCGTGATGTCTGACACGAGCGTGTGTGCCAGGTATTTGCTGTTCCTCACTCTGGGGTCACCCTCCGCAGGCCTCTGATGCTGTCTAGGCTGGCATTTCTCTCACAGAGCACAGGATCCACCCAAGAAACAGCCTTGTGTTCCTTCCTTCTGTCCACTCTCCCATCTGTCCGGTACTTACTGGGACTTGCCCAATGCCAGTGTCTGTGGGAATAGGAATAAGCCACGGCCTGCCCCACAGGTTGCTCATGGTCGGGAGAGTGTTGTCCTAAGGGCCGTGTGGAAGGGGACACTGAGCCCTGGGAGCTGCTGTCTGCTGGGGGAGCCAGGGCAGGCTTTGGAGAGGCGGGACCTTCAGCTAGACCTTACAGTGTAAGAAGGGATGAGCTTGGTGGCGAGGGCGAGAAGACCAGGGCAGCCTCCGTGAGTGGGGCGCAGGCTCACGGGGATGGCTGGGAGCTGAGGACGGGAGGCCAGCATGGGGCTAGTTGCAGTATTGCCTGTGGCGCCAGGTCTACAAGTTGCGACGTGATCCTGAAAGCAGCAAAGACCCACAGGAGGTTTCAAACAGAAGAGTGGGGATGACAGGAGCATCGGTGCTGGGGAACATACCACGTAGGGGGTTCAGTGCTCTTGTTGCACTTGAGGAAACAGCACTGGGGGGGGTCCTGAAGAGGGGAAGAGTCTACACCAGTTCTTCTCAGACTTTTCTGTGCCTTAAAATCACGGGGGACCTTGTTCAAAGGAGATTCGGATTCAGTAGGGCTGAGGCGAGGCTGTGATTCTGCATTTCCAGCAAGCTCTGTGGCGACGCCGATACTGCTGGACCACACGCCACACACTGAACAGCCACGTTGGAGGACAGCCTCTTGTTGACCTAAAAGGGACGGCTCCGAAGGCAGCACCCCTCAGCCCCACCGGTCGTCCACCTCCACACAGCACCTTATTCTTTCCCAAGCCTGCACACATTTGCCACTTTGTTAGAGTCTCAGGCCGCTGAGACGGATCAGCAAGGTGGAGGCTCTGCTCCTCACTTTATAGGTTAGGAAATGAGTACACAGAGGGAGAGCCAGGTCACCTGACCCAGAGCCAGCTCATCCTTGGCACAGCCTGTGGGGATCACTTGGGGAGCTCCCTGCCTGGCATGTGGCAGAGCTGATCCTGTTTGAGATATGGAAGGGGCCACAAGGAGAAAGGGGCTTTCCAGGGACCCTTGCTGGCCAAATAGGACATAGACCCAGCCCTCTCCACTGAAGATCTTTTATTGTTTTGCTCTTAATGAGTCCCACATTTGGGTTTGTCCTCTACACTGTCTTTCTCCATTGTTCCTTAATCAGTGGCTTCTGTAACTGTCCACCAGAACTTCTGATGAAGAAACCACCAGTTTTCAGCCTAACTTGATTCCAGCCAAAAGCAGAGACTCCCATGGAGTATTCCCAGGCTGTGGCTCCATGGAGATAAGTCATTCTGGGCTAAAAAGAGCTCTATAGTCAAATACACTTGGAATGTGGTAGATTCTATCTGCATGTTATAATCCACCTGGGAAGTTCAGGATGCACATTAGCACATTAAAGGCTGTGAAAGTTTTGTTTTGAAGATCCTCCTTAACTGGATTTTCCATGTGTATTTGACCACAACCCTTTGCTGGAGAACACTTTACAGAGTCCACAGAACACTGAGGCAATGCTGAATCAGGTACTTCAGTTAATAAGGTGGTTAGTTAATGTCCTACCTCTGCTAAGTTTTTGGAATAGCTGAGGTACTGCATTAGTTCCTCCAAGGGTCTTTAGGTGTTGCTTGCTGGAAAGGTAATGAACAGAGTGCTAGGCTGGGCAGGGGTAGGGGAGGGGGAAGAGGTTACTTTAGCTAGGGTGGCAAGGGACAACCTTTCTGAGGAGGAAAGACCTACATTCAAACCTGAATGAAAAGAAGTGACAACCTATGAGCAGGTCTGAGGGAAAGTATTCCAGGAAGAGGTGACAGCAAGTGCAAGCGCCCTGAAGCAGGACCAAAGTAGGCTTCCTCCGATGCCAAGGCTGTTCCTGGGGGCCTGAGGTCACAGGGCACAGGGCTAAGAACTCTGGATAGACTACCCTGGAGTAGGTCGGGCAAAGCAGCCTTTCTCAGTGGGAGCAGAGCATCACTGATTCAGGGGAAAGGAAGACAGCAATGAAACCTCTGTCCTGTCTCTACCTGCAGGGCATCTGAGGAGGCTTTCGTGAAGGAATCCAAGGAGGAGACGCCAGGCACAGAGTGGGAGAAGGTAGCTCAGCTGTGTGACTTCAACCCCAAGAGCAGCAAGCAGTGCAAAGACGTGTCCCGCCTGCGCTCGGTGCTCATGTCCCTGAAGCAGACGCCGCTGTCCCGCTAGGTGCCTGTCACAAGCATGGCCACAAAGCATGGGCTGGGCCTGGGCACAGGAGGAGCCGCTGCTTTGGCCAGGATTGGGGCACAGTGCCTCCAGCAGCTGCTACCCACAGCCTGTTCTGTTCCTCCCCATCTCCTGGGGCTGGGAAGAGGAACCCTCCCCCGTCACCCCATTCCCTCCTGGCCCTGTGGCCCAGCCCCTCACACCTCCTCTCGGTCCACAAAATTGTGACTGTCCCTCCTGATGTATTTTTTTTTCTTGGCTTAAAGGGTGTGTTGTTAACTCTTTTTACACTTATTTATTATCATTCTCATTTCTCTGGAAGCCATAACTGGTGTCAGGGCTCAGTTTGTGCTTAGAATTTTCCCAGCTTCGTGGCCCTGGGAGGTGAGGCTATCCTCCTGGAAACCGTCCCAGCTGGAAGGAGGTGTCCCAACCTGTGTATGTCTGCTGCCCCCCTCTCCAGGAGGAAAGACAATCTCTAATGGAATGCTTTTGCAACCCTGATCCTTTCTGATCCTTCAATAAGCCTGTGATATAAGGATTCTGTTGTTGTCGTCATATAGCCATGGACACCAAGGCTCCCAGAGAGTAAGAAGCTTTAAGTGGGAGAGAAGAGGCAAGACCAGAGGTTCCCAATGGTAGCTCCCTCTAAGTCCGGGTCGAGGCTGGTGAAGGTAGCTGCTGCCAGACTCCTTTCCTTGGGTTTGGCCAGTACCCTCTGGATGTGGAAGGCTCACTGCTCTCCCTCCTTCAGCTGTCTCCCACCCTGTAGATTTGGGATAAATACTCAGTGACCACACCTTCATCTTATTCAGCAGAGGTTGCAAACAGGCTGTGTTTAAGCCACTGTGACCTGCACAATGTTTAAAAAGACTTGAGTAACTGCCAACTGTCTTTATTTTCCTAGAGCTGCCATAACCAAGTACCACAGTGTCTGGCTTAGAACAACAGATATTTATTGTCTCACCATTCTGGAGGTCTGAAGTCCAAAATCAAGGTGTCAGCAGAATCACAGTCCATCTGAAGGCACTAGGGAAGGATCTGTCGTACAGGCTTCTCTCCCAGCTTCTGGCAGCCTCAGGCATTCTTTGACTTGTAGGTGCATCACTACAATCCTGAGCTGATCTTCACATCATCTATGCATTGTCGATCTTTGCGTCCAAATTTCCCCTTTTTATAAGGACACCATCAGAATGGATTAAGGTCTACTCTAATGACCTCATTTTAACTTAATTACCACTGTAAAGACCCTATTTCCAAGTAAGATCACATTCTGAGATATTGGGTTAGGACTTCAACATATCTTTTTTAGGAGAACACAATAACGCCAGCAGCTAAAAATAGTGGCCGTCCTCTTTAGAAGTGCCATAGTCCTCACCACTTCTTATGTTCTTGAATCAATCACCACGAGGTACTGCTTTACATTATAATCTCTGCCTTACAGCTGAGAGACCATGATGGGAGCAAGAAACTTAGTGGGGCCCTTCTCATACACTCCTCCACTTAGAAAGTTAGACTGTGTTAGGGGGCCCAAAAAGTGGGTGTGTCTTCTTTACTTCCTCTTTCCTTTCTGGCAGCTTGCAGCTGGTGTTGAAATTGATGGAGTCACACATGGAAGGAACCTGGGTCCCACCGAATCAATACTTTAGATCTGACGACAGTCCAGGAATACTTGAGACTTTACACGAATGAGAAACTCAAGGTTGCCCCTTGTAGAGTTCCCTCAAGGTCCCCAGCCTCTTTTCTTCCTTAACCCTGAACACTAGGTACACAGACCAGTGGCAAGCTTTGTGACTATGCTACCACTCCACCAGGCTGCTCCTCTGAGCCTGTTTCCTGTTCTGTAAGACGCATCAAGAACCAAGCAGGGATGGTCTACATCAGTGGAGCCCTAGATACTCTCAGGAGGTGGGAGTGGAGTGAGGAGCAGAAGCAAAGTGGAGGGCAGAGCCCCCCTGCCTCTGACAGGGCTTTGGCCAGCCTCATCTCAAGGAAGGTTTTCCTGTTGAAAGTTTGAAAATTGTTGGAAAGATCAGTTTTTTTCAAATAGCACCACTCTATGGAATCTCTACTTTTAACAAGTTCCCCAGGTGACTGTTACCAGAGAAGTTTGGGAATCATTAGACTCTTAAGATTTCTAAGGGCCCCTACAGTCTTTAGACAATCTCCTCCTAAAACCAAAGACCAAAAACCCTGGGGGGCTACACTGAGAATGAATTCACCAAACTACAAGTGGATCAGTTTATTAAGTAGGAAGTGAAGAAAGTGGGGCACAAATAGAACTATGCAACACCCAAACTGAACCGAATCTGAGATTCCTGAAAAAACATCTGTCAGTTACACAATCGGCCACTTCTTCCCCCGCTGATACAGGGGCTTGTCAGGGGAGTCGCGGGAATGTCAGGTAGCGGAACCGGTGGTTGCTCCTGGGGCTGGGAATGGTCTCTGTGTAACTTTCAAGGCAGGTCTCGCACTCAGGATCGAGACTTCATAGCAGATGCAGCCAGACCCAGCAAGATGGCTGCGACCGTGAAGCCCTGGGCAGCGATCCGGGTGCGCATCATGAGCTGAGAGCGGTGGCTCTGACCCCGATGGAAGCAGTAGAGGCCGTAGGTTAGGGCGGCCGCCGTGCCCAGGCAGCCTGAGGAGGGGACAAAGTGAGGAGTGGCACGTTCCGGCCCCGGAGGCCCCTCCCCGCTGTAGGCCTCCCGTACTCAGAGTCCAGAGCTCTGAACGACGGCTGAGGGAAAGGGGGTAGAGCCTAGTGGGTGGGTTTGGTCGAGGTAGGGTCCTCTCAGTTACAGGGCTCGCCCCATCTCAGCACCCCCCAATCCCGCCCAGCTCCCGCTCCAATCAGGATGACCTCTCACCGCCCGGCCCCATCGCCACAGTTCCGGTCCGCTCTCACTCCCGTCCCCCTTCGCTTTCCCGGTCCTCCCCTAATTCATTCCGTCAGACCTCACTACCCTATCCGTCTACAGTTCCTGCAACACCTGCTTACCTATGGGTACCATTGGGTTCTCGCGGGTCTTGCGAAGAAATTTTTCCTTGAAGCTTTCTTGAGTGCTGTAGATACTGGGGCTAAAGCCCTCAATGACTGGGGGCTGTGCTGGTTCAAAGGGTGCCCCGGGAGTCACAGGACCAGGAGCCGCCATGTTCCGGGGAACTGCTTTGGGAGAAAATACGGACGCTAAACTCCGCCTCCTGATGAGGTCATGGAAGGGGCGGGGAAAAGGAATTTGCTGAGCTTGTACGCAGGCGCTAACCGCTCATTGCACTCTGGGAATCGTGGTAATCCGCCTGATGTCGCTGTGGGGAGGACTACATTTCCCCAAATAGCCTGTAAAGCCCTCGCGCGCATCCGCCGGAAGTAGTCTGCGACACGAGGTGCTGAGAGTGCGAGCCACTTTAGTTATAGGTTGCCGGTTCGGTGGTCAAGCCAATGCCCAAGGCCAAGGGGAAGACCAGGAGACAGAAGTTCGGTTACAATGTTAACCGGAAGCGTCTGAACCGGAATGCTCGACGGAAAGCAGCGCCACGAATCGAGTGGTGAGGGGACAAGGGTTTAGGAGACAGGGGACCTCGGCTGAGACAGCCGGCGAGATGACGGTTCCGTGATCTCTCTCTCTCTCTTTCCCTGTAGCTCCCACATCCGACATGCCTGGGACCACGCCAAATCCGTGCGGCAGAACCTGGCCGAGATGGGGTTGGCTATGGACCCCAACAAGGCGGTGCCTCTCCGTAAGAGAAAGGTACTGACATGGCAGGGTCCCGGCCCCTGACCCCTGTTTCCCACCATACTCAGCTGAGTTTCAGAACTTCTTCGTGTCCATTGCCACGCTCACGCTTTTCCTGGGTTTGCGACCTTCCCACAGCAACTCCGGCAGCCTGCACCGACTGTGGTTGAAAGGCTCTTTACCACCACCCTCCTACTCCCCAGCACACAGTGGACCTGGGTTGGAGCTCCCCCCTTTTCTTCTCCACTCATTTCTTTTCCCCTCCGAAATTAACCTGTTTGGGTCCCTTGGCATCTCAATGGTATTTCCCAGAATTTATCTTTTTCTGCCCTTAACTCTCCTAATAAGGACCCCCTCCCCGAGTTTGGGATTTTTGCTTATTCTTCCTTACACCTTTCCCTGTCATCTAGTTATCCTTGGTCTGAGGCTTCCTTAGTTTCTTCCAAATAAGTCTTTTTCTGCACCAGGCTTTCAAAAATAGCACCTTTTTTTTAACTCAGGAATTTCTTCCCTGCTTTAATTCATAGCACTTGTAAATACTTGATGGTATTTTATATATTTATTTGTTTATTGTCTGTGCCTCTTTCCCTCAACATAATCTTGGGGACAAGGATTTTGTGTTTTGTCCAGTGGTGCTTAGGATGTGACTAGTGCTCAATAGTTAACCTAATGAATGGACTAAGATTTTATTTTTTTTGGGGGGGGGAGGGCAGACGGAGAAGCAGACTCCCTGCTGAGTAGGGAGCCTGACATGGGGCTCCATCCTAGGACCCTGAGATCATGACCTGGGCTGAAGGCAGATGCTTAACTGACTGAGCCACTTGGCCACCCAGGCACCGCTGTCCCATTGCTTTTAGACAAGTTTCTTTTTATCCCTTCATGCCAGGGGAAAATGGCACTACTGTTTCTTGATCAAATGTGAAGCTATAGCCAAGCACTGTCAGGTTGCTCCTTTTCATAGAGAAGATATCTAATATCTCCTCATTGTAAACTATAAAGAGGTTTCATGGGCATTGTTTCACTTGATTAGCACACATGGGGTGAGGGAGGCAAGGAGTATTATGCCCATTTTATAGATAGGCACAGAAAGATGAATTGCTTCCTTGAGTCCCTTTTGGAAACTGTAAAGCCTCTGGGGCATTGGTTCTCTCTGTCATCTATTCCTGCCTGCATATGTGTAGGGATTCTCATGGGTAATGCAATTGTGTTGAGATGGGCAGGACCCTCTAGAATTTCCCCTCATCCAGGATCCTTCCTTTGTCTTCTGGTCTCATATGCTCTGTTCTCTGCAGGTGAAGGCCATGGAGGTGGACGTAGAGGAGAGGCCTAAGGAGCTTGTGCGGAAGCCCTATGTGCTAAATGGTGGGTGCTGGCCACATTCCTCTAGGTCACCATCCTGCACAGTCAGGGCTAGAAAGGGCCCTCAGATGTCTTCATTTTACAGATGGAAAAAACAGGCTCAGAGGGAAGAAGGGAGCTGGTCTGGGGCTCACAAGGTTAAGACTGTGTCTCTGACTGGGACATTTTCAGTCTACTTACTACACTCAAGCGTTTGAAGTAAGGTCAGGGATGTTCAGGGAGGATGCA